TATTTTAATAATTGTTGCTGTTTAAATATTGAAACCTAGTTTTCTTCAAATATTTAAAAATTTGTAAAGATATATGATATTGGTAACAAACTAATTTATATAATACACAATTTTAGTTGCAAGCAGTTTTTTACTTGGGTTGATCTTGGAAATACTTGTTGAAAATTTGAGCATGCGGTAATACTTATTGAAAATTTGGGAAATACACTAACAAAACACAAGTGAACCATACATTAAAATGCAAAAAAAATATCTAAAAACATTTAACTTGCGATAATGCGGGGATTAAGTTTCAAAAAAAAAAAAAAAAGATAATGCGGGGATTTGAATACAGAGACACTCCTTTCCAATCCTAGTGACTATAAATCACTCATCAACAAAGATGAGGAAATGCCAAGAAGAAGAAAAACAAACAACACATTAGTCAAACAAAATCATAAGTAGGTTCTTCTATAACAATCAGTTGATGTTGGAAAGCTTCAATGCCACTTGCAATGTTGTCATTGCCTCCGCTTTCCTCTACAACTCTGTCTTCTGCTTGGATCTCCTGAGATTCCTCAAGTTTTTTTTGGTTTGTTTTACGAAATCTTCTTTTGATTCTCGCTTGAAATCTCTTAGCTTTTTCCTTGTTGGTCTCATTCTTGTAGTGAACTGACGCAATATGTGCAGCAAACTTTTGTGAAGTGTCAAAGACAGTGTTGCATTTGGGACATGTATATGGACCGTATTTCTCGTACGGTAGGCTATGTGTCCGACCATCGTATTCACCATCTTCCTCAGAATCAAAACCATCAAAAATTTCTTCAAAACATATGGTTGGTTTAGAACGTTTCTTCACCGGTCGACGAGTGGGAACATTTTGGTGCTTTGGTGGAAAGGAAAATAGGTCTAAATTCCTAGGAAATACGGAATTGTGATGCGGATAAATGGTATTGAGAGGTGTAGGGTTTAAGATCTCACACTGTTTGTCGACAAAATTTGGAAGGGGAACGGAAGGACTCAAAATGTTGGGATTGATGGCACGTTCATATTCATTTTGGAGAGTGATCAAATCATTAGTAGGAACAATAGCAGAGTACCTATTTGTGATAGTTTCGGTGACATAGACTTGAGAAAAATGAGGGTTATCGTTAATAGGAATATAATTGACATTAGAGACAATGTTTTGTCTCATTTGATAAGCCCCATGTGAATTATTGAAACCAAAAGAAGATGAAGGGAAGTATAAATCTTGATAACAATTAAACGCAGGAGAGGAAGAAAACAAACCATGATGGTACGTATGGTCAGGAGTAATGAAAATTGACCGAACCATATTAGACTCATGATTCATGAAGCTTGAGTTGGTTTGGATGGGAATAGAACCATGAAGATTCATAATATCGTCACCATAAGAGTTTAAACCATTTGGGATTGAAGACATTTTGGAAGTCGAGAGAGCGTATATTACATTTTTTTTTATCTGTGTATCCTTTTATATTGATATATAATATAACAAAACAAACTTGGAAATTTATAAAAAGGAAAATAAATTTAAGCAAGATAGGAAATAAATCTATTCAAAATTTCTTGCTTTTTGATTTAAATTAGATATTATCCTCAATGATTCATTTTACCTTTTAAAGAGAAAAATACTTGGTAATATTTAGATAAAGTAAAAAATTTGAAATTTCTTTTTTGTTTCGTAACGCTCACATTTCGGGCTATATATCCTTTTTTGTGTGTCAAGGCTA